ATCTGCATAACCAATACCCTTAAAAATTAAGAAATAGAGAGTTGTTGACAGCCTAAAAGTTCCTTCTTCCTCCTTTCTCATTTATTTCCTTCCTGCAAGCAACCACTTTGTTTGTTCCTAGTGTTGGGGATTAAACCCAGGGCCTGGCACATGCTGTAAGAACTTTATCACTTCAGTTATGTTCCCAAGAGCCCTCCCTTGCCCCCCCCCACTTTTAAATTTTGTTTTGTTTTTAAGATTGGGTCTTGGTGCTTCCTTTGCCCAAGCTTGCCTTGAACTTTCTCTCTCTTTTTTTTTAATTTTTTCCAGTACTGGGGCTTGATGCATTGAACTTTTGCCTCTGCCTGCTAAGTAGCTGGGATGACAGGTGTGCACCACTATGTCCCGTTACTGTTTTTACTTTTATCTCCACAGTTTACCTTTTCTTAAACGTCATGTAAGTGAATGTGCAGGATGTTCTCTTTTGTGTTTGGCTTCTTTTGCTCAATATAATCGTTTTGAGATTCATAAAAAGTGTTAAAAATATCAGTAGTACTTCCTTTTTGTATTTGCTCAGTAGTGTTCCATTATATGAGTGTCTATCTGTCATTAATGATAAAGCTGAGGGTTGGTTTACACAAAGATGCCTCAATAAAACAAAAGGTGGCAATTCCTCTTCATCCACAACCCACACTTGGCTTTTCCCAATGGCTATACAAGAGCTAAATCTGAATTATAATCTTTGAGTGCTTAAGGGCTAAAAAAGAGAACATGGGGAAAACAGGAATCACGAGAGTCTAAATCAGAGAAGAAAGCACAGGAAGCAAGACAGAGGATGTATTAGGAGGCAGATCTCCACCTTGAGCCAAAACTGCCCTGGTTCTGGCTGTCATCAAAGACCCTGAAAAGACTGAATTAACTGCAGCCCTAACACTCACTGTGAGCTTCCTTTTATCTCTCCTTGCTTTTCTGACTACTAGTTAGTAATCTTTTTGTCCTTGTAGACAACCTAAAGGCTTTTACTTAGTGACTTTGTTTGCTGGAGTACTCTCAAAGATGACTCTAGATCCAGTTATGATGGAAGCAAAGGCAAAGGTGAATTTAAAAGGGTATTTGAGTCCCTCTCCTCGGACATGTGGAGCTCACATCAAAAGAGCAGGAAGTTTGGAGGAAATGATGCAATTTATTATGATTTCTCATTGGCAAGAACTTACTGTTGGACTAGAGGTGTGGCTCAAGCAGGAGAGCACTTGCTTTGCCAAGCACAAGCCCTGAGTTCAAACCCCAGTCCCACCAAAACCAGAAAAAACAGAACTTGCTGTGTGCATGTATGAAAATGTCATAATGGATCCCCTTACTCTGTACAGTTAATATGCATGAATAAAAAAACAGAGAAAGAAAGAAAAGGAGGAAGAGAGGGAGGAAGGGGGAAGGAGGGAGGGAGGAAAGGAAGGAAGGAAGTCAGTCTGGGATCGTAGGATAAGAACAGTCTAATAGATCCTACAAACATTTATTTTGGTTAATTGTAATCATCCCCTCAATGTATTTATAACCTATTTAGAGAAAACACAGATAAATCTACTCTGGAAATCTAGTTTTATCCAATTAAGGTGTAGGAAACACCACTGTAGATACACAGAGGTTATAAAAACCCATTACAAACACTGTGAGTGAATAACAGTTCCTAGCTAGAGATTAATTTTTGGGCCAGACTGACTTTGGACTTCCCTATCCCCCTGCCTCAGCCTCCAAGTGTTGGGATGGCAGGTGTGTACCACCACGTCCAGCTGCCGATCCAGTGACTATATGCAAGGTCAAGTCTCCACCAGTTTTGTACACTGAATATTTTTAAATGGGTCACTCCAGTACTATCCCTGCTTCTCAATTGATAATGTGATTGTTCATACTGACGATTAATTAAAGTCCTCACTCTGCAGGATGCCCCCGTCCCCCAGTAGAGCCCATCATTTGTCTGAAGTTATTCTTGTGTAGTGGTAGCTGAAAAAAAAAAAAAATTCAGCCGCTTAGAAACAGTGAACGATCCCCACAATGTATGGGACATAGGCACAAAAGTCAAAAGTATATAAAAAGTGCAGTTTAGGTTAAAAGTATACTGGGCATATTCTTAACACAGACTATGCCCACAATGGAAGTGAATATAATTTAAAATGAACCAAAATTAAGTTCTACAAAATCAGGCTTTTTACATTGGGGGGAAAATAGGGATACCAGCTGAAGTGCTGGTATTTCTTTTTTTTTTTTTTTTTTCATTTTTCTTTTATTATTCATTTGTGCATACAAGGCTTGGTTCATTTCTCCCCCTTGCCCCCACCCCCTCCCTTACCACTCACTCCGCCCCCTCCCTCCCCTCCCCTCAATACCCAGCAGAAACTATTTTGCCCTTATTTCTAATTTTGTTGTAGAGAGAGTATAAGCAATAATAGGAAGGAACAAGGGTTTTTGCTGGTTGAGATAAGGATAGCTATACAGGGCATTGACTCACATTGATTTCCTGTGCATGGGTGTTACCTTCTAGGTTAATTCTTTTTGATCTAACCTTTTCTCTAGTACCTGGTCCCCTTTTCCTATTGGCCTTAGTTGCATTTAAGGTATCTGCTTTAGTTTCTCTGCGTTGAGGGCAACAAATGCTAGCTAGTTTTTTAGGTGTCTTACCTATCCTCACTCCTCCCTTGTGTGCTCTCACTTTTATCATATGTGATATAAGAGAATTTCTTAAGAGAATCTATAGCTAATGAATTTCTACTCTAACACTTTGAATTTCTTATATTACTAGAATGACTTTTAATATTAAAGAATCTTTTCTCGTTGGACTTAAAAGCAAAAACAAGAATTGGTCTTGGCTGGCAGAGTAGCTCAAGTGGTGGAGCACCTGTCTAGCAAGTATGAGAGCCTGAGTTCAAACCCCAGTACTGCAAAAAAATATATAAAAGAATTTGTCTTATATAAGGTTTTGATTTGAATTCTGTAAAACTCTAATAACATTTAATGGTGGCGATAGCATATTATATGATATCATTTTATAACTTTCCTCTATTTTGAGGTACTGGGGCTATACCTTCAGCCACTTTACCTGCTCTTTTTTGTGATGGGTATTTTCAAGATAGGGTCTCACAAACTATTTGCCTAGCCTGGCTTTGAAACACAATCCTCCCGATTTCTGCCTCCTGAGTAGCTAGGATTATAGGCGTGAGCCATCGGCACCGGCACCCGGCTGTTCTTCACTTCTCTTAAACAATACATGTTTCTTATCAGAACTTTATATGCGCATATTGTAATATAAGCCAATAGCCACTGAGATTTTTTTTTTTTCTATCCTCACTTCCCAGAACATACTCAATTAAAACCAGATATTTATGTTGGGACATAACCAAGTCTTCTTTCATCTTAGCCTTTCCTTCTTGGCCAGAACTAGGACTCTACCATACTTCTGCCCAGGAAAACCACAACCCATGAGTGTCCAGCTTTCTGGGAATGAGATGTACTGTCTGGGATTTCCAAGGAAGGAAAGAGCACATGTACTGGTTGGCTTCTGTGCTCATCTCCCTGGTGAATCCTGGTGACAGGGCTTACCTCCCTGTCACCAATGAGCTCCCCATAGCCCAGCTTCCCTATGGCATCTGCCCCATGTCATGAGTCACAGCTGTGCTTATGAAGATAAGTCCAAGGGTAGGAACGTTTTATCATCCACTGAAGCCAAATGGACATACTTTTCCATGATGCTTGACTCTGTAGGAAGTGAGGGCAACATGAAATCATTCTTCCGCCACGGCAGACAGATGGATAGACATTCCAGTTTGTTTTCAGCCTTTTGTCTTCAGAGCATTTTTGGCATTTCCTTCAGGAAACTGGAGGTTATGACCTAAGGTTTCCTTAGTCGACACCCTTCTGTTTCCCACAGTTAACCTTACCCAGAAATGACATCGACTCTATTAGGTGAGGTTTATCTTCTTGTCCCAACTGTGTCCTGTGCACATTCAATGACACTTGAAAACACACATTCTGAAAGTAACAATAGGGTTGGAGAGCCAAACACACCAGAATACTTTTCCTTTAACCCCAATAAAGATGGCAATAACACCAAGAGTTAACTATTATAATTCTGCAATGCTCTCAAAGTACCCTTGCTCTCATTTCATTGTTGGAGAAACTGAAGACCAAGAATATGACCAGCTTTCAAATACAATGAATAGAAAGTTTTCAAATCAAAAATGCTAAGCCTGTTCTACACCTTGTTACTTCATTGATATTGTACATTCCCATATTATTTAGGAAACAGACTGTAGAACTCAAAACCGTGTTCTAAAAAAAAAAAAGCCTGAGTGAATAAAGACCAAAAACAAGAGCTGCCATTTTTGAGTCTGTACTCCCATTTCCTGGATGGGGAGCAGGAAATGTTTCTCCCCTCCCCCATTTCTTCTTACTTAATCTTGCTATACTAAAATAAATCCATGCTAAAAATTAAAAAAAAAAAAAAAAACTTGAGTGGTTTAATATCTCCCAAACTAATGTTCCCTCTTTCCCAGCATATGGGTGGAAGAAGGAGAATGTATACTTGGTTAATGAACTTGAACTGATCACTGTGTCATAATTTAAATTAGATTTGACCACAGTGTTCAGTCTTTGAAAGCCCACATTTCAGAACAGAAAAACTGTACTTAATTTTGTTTGGCCTGAATGCAATTTAAAACTCAATTACATTTATTTGCCAATGTGGTATTTAGAAGCTTGGTGGTTTTTATCTCATTCTTCTACAAATCTTCAATGTTAACTTATTGAAGTTTCTCTTCCTGAAAAAGATAGAGTGGTTTCTAAGCAAACCACATTTTTTTTTACACTCCAGTGTGTTAAGGTAAAATCCTTCAAAGAATAACAAATTTGTCCTTGACTTTGATCCTGTAGAACTCCACAATCAAAAGAGAATATCACCATAACAATTTAGAAAAAGGCTCTTCACAAAAGGATCTTTAAAAAAAATCAGTTTATTAATGTTTAAAAGTTGATAAAGCTATGTGCAAAATGATCCACAAAAGTCAGAAGCCTATTAAATACTTAAAAAAAAGACATTTCTTAGTTTAATTGCACTGAAAACCATACTAAGAGACAGTAATATATTTTTATTCTTTGTAACATTTATACACACCTTTAATTACTATCTAATGAACAGCTGTACTGAAAAACTTCTGGTGTTCCCTATCAGTTAAAGTAATGCTTTCAAGGGCACAAGAGGGTGGAATTTTCTTAAGTAATGCACATTCAATGCTGTTAACACAGGTTAGGAAAAAAACCCATAAAATTACTTCTGCTGAAACAAATACATTCAAAAATCATGAAGAGTACTTTTAACACCACAAAATACAACCATCTTGTTGGTCGAAATGAAATCACACAACAGTCTGAAAGAAACATCAACAAAAGTGCCAAAGACAGATGTCGTATTTGCTAGAAATGAAGGCATTGGCTAGAAATTGAGAAATCTCTCTTGGTTTACAAAAGGTAACTCCTATTTTCACCTGGTTTTGTTGGTTTCTCAAGACCATGACTGATATTATTTAGATAAATTGGATTTCCTTATTCTGACTGTAACTACAATGGGTATTCATTTCACTGAAAGAAAAAAAAAAACACATTTCACTGAAAAAAAAACCCCAAAACTCAAAGTAACTTGAACCACATTCCAAAAACCTGGTCCAACTTATGTGGAAACTTTGGACTCAGCAAATGACATTGCTTTAGTTCTCCGAACTATTTCCATCTTCTCACTGCCTACCTACCACCCAGCCCACTTGTCACAGATGATGGCGACAAGGACCAGACCACAACCTCCTCCCACCTGAACGCTGGGTAGTTACAATATAATGTAGAAGAATCCCGGAGGGGCAGGAAAGGGTGTGATATGCAGAGCCTCCCAAGACAAGCAGAAGTGCACACATTCTCTTGGGTTTGAAAGTGAAAGAAAACATCTCAAAGCTCCAAAGAGACCCTTTCCCAAGGGACCTAAGTCTTTGAGGAGGGGCCAAAAATACCCCGTGAGGAGCTTGACAATGCTAGACCTTTGGCTCAGTGCAAAATCAAAGCTCCAGGGGTCGGGGCAGGGGAAGGAAATCGGCTCCAGACTGGAACCTGATCTCCACCCTTCCCCAGTGCCATTGTTCACAGGAACCAACTACCACCAACAGCCCATCAAGCTGTGCCTTGTCCCCCCACTCACTCTCTCTCTCTCTCTCTCTCTCTCTCTCTCTCTCTCTCTCTTTCTCTCTCTCTCTCTCTTTCCCTCCCTCTCTGGCTTGCAGCAGCTCCTTCCTAGCAAGGTTGAGGCCCAGAGGCATCTTTCAAACGCTGGGGTGGCGGGTGCCCAAATAAGAGTGCTTCCCAAGAATGGGAAATTTTCTTTTTAGGAAGAAGAGTTGACATTTCCAGAAGACATAATGGTCTCTGGGTTGTCCCCATCGTCCTTCTGGGGGTGGGAGGAGTTGTCGGATTTACTGCGGCTGAACTCCATACCTGCGATGATCGGGCGTTTGATCTTGCCCGTGGAGTCTCCGCTGGGACACTTGCAACAGGACACGATCCGTATGAAGGCCCGGCGCATCTCCTTGTTGGTTAGGGTGTAAATGATGGGATTGGTACCCGAGTTCAGCACAGCCAGCACCAGGAAGTACTCTGCTTTGTAAAGGATGTCACAGGTCTTCACCTTGCAGCCCACATCCAGCAAGAGCAGGATAAAGAGCGGTGCCCAGCAGGCGATGAAGACACTCAGGACGATGATGACCGTCTTCAGCAAGGCCAGCGACTTCTCAGAGCTCCGGCTGGCTTTGGAGATGTTCTTCCGGAAGGTCAGCCGGCGACTCCGAGTCCTGACCAGGGAGTAGATCCTGCAGTAGAGGATGACGATGGAGAGTAAGAGCAAGGTGAACACGGTGGTGCAGAAGAGGATATAGTGCTTGTGGTACAGCGGCAGCACGGTGGAACAGCTGGACAGCGTGCCGATGCAGTTCCAGCCCATGATGGGCAGGCCACCCAGGATGAGGGACATGACCCAGCAAGCGCTGATGAGCAGGAAGGATCGGGAGCTGTTGCTGCTGTTGTGTAACTTCATCTTCAGCATGGTGATATAGCGCTCGATGGCAATGGCCAGGAGGCTGAACACCGACGCAGACAGAGCCACAAACATACTCCCTTCTCGCACAAACCACTGCGCAGGGGTGAGCTTGTAGGTGGTGGCCCCAGACAACAGCAGGTTGGCTATGTAGGCCACGCCCGCCAACAGGTCTGAGAGAGCTAGATTGCCAATGAAATAGTACATGGGCCGGTGGAACTTCTTGGTTTTCCAAATAGTCAGCAAGACAAAGATGTTCTCCAGGATGATGAAACAGCAGATAAGAATGAAAACCACTGAAGTCAGTTTAATACCATTGTCCTTGTCGGCGCTGATATTCAGCTTTCCCGTGTAGTTGTAATGGAGCACTATGATATCATAGTTGACATAGTCCGAGACCGAGCTGCGGAGGGCCTTGACCAGCTGCATGCTTGGGGACACCATAGTGGACAGCGAGCTTTGGGTCCCCAGGGGCCCCGGAGGCGTCAATTCTCCAGATGAACGCTAGAGGGCGCTGGCCGCAAAGCTGCAGGAGTGGTTTCAGGGAGAATTCCAGGCTGTGAGTGTGAGTGTGAGTGTGTGTGTGTGTGTGTGTGTGTGTGTGTGTGTAGGTTTTTCGTTGGAGTGGTTTTAGGGAAAATTCCAGGCTGTGTGTGTGTGTGCGTGTGTCTGTGTGTCTGTGTCTGTGTGTGTGTGTGTGTGTGTGTGTGTGTGGGTGGGTGGGTGGGTTTTTCGTTGGCTGGAGTGGGCCTCAGAAACCGCAGCCTTAAACAAATCACAAAGAAAAGAGAGTCAGGGAAAAAAGCCACAGCACATTAGCATTATTCATTCTGGCTAAGGCTTTCCTCCAATTTTGCTGTTGGTTTGTTCTAAGAAAACTTGGGGAGAGCGCAATGGAGAAGGATTTTTTTTTTTAATCTAATTACCATTTCTGGCAAAAAGGAAAAAAAAAGAAAGTGAGAGAGAGAAACAAATTACCCAGACTGAAAACTCCAACTAGACTACAAGAAACGCTCCCTATGGTGACATCCACCGAAATGGGACACCTGGAGAAAAGTGTCCCATCCTAAGTTAGTTCTCCTCTCTCCCCTTTCTCCCTGGCCCTCCCTGCACCTCCATTTCCAGCCCAGGGAGACTCTCCAAAGCGGTCACCAGCTCACCTGCGCGCTCGCCACCAGCAAGATCTGCCCTTGGAAGAGACCCAACTGCTAAATCTGAGGGCGGAGACGCACATCTCTGCCCTCCTCCCCCCAACACACACGCACACCACACACACACACTGCACCCCATGCCCCAAGCTCAAAAAGACCAGCCCCAACTCCTAATTGCCATGCAAGAAGGTCAATTTGCAAAAAATCATTTGACAGCATAAGTCATTTTCTGGGCTCTATTAATAACTCCAGGAGCAGGTGTGCTGGGGTCCGAGGGCGCAGCGAGGTGTGGGCTGCCAGGCGCGCCCAGGCCTTGCGATAAACAGGAAAACTGCGCCTCCGTGAAGCAACTGCTATTCTTTCTTCTTCTTCTTCTTTTTTTTTTTTTTTTTTTGCTTTCTCGAAAGCCAAGTACGAGTAAAGGTATTCGATAAAAACCACCCATTCATACGAGATTGCAGGGGTCCCCGAAGTTTCAAACATTGGTTACCTAAGGATATTTTTAATTTACCCACACACAAGCATAAAAGTTACACTACTAACGATAACGAAACATGCCAGCACATTTCAGATTTCAAGTGCAAAACATCCCTCTCCAGAAGTCGCGCAATCGGATGTGGGGCGCATTGCTAAATTCGCGTGGGCAGTTTGATTTAATGCGCGCCCCCAAACACTTCGCCTCTTCTCCCAGAACTAGAACGTGGGAAAGGGTCGACAGAGCACTGGCAGGGGAAGCTTGCTTTTAAGTGAAGTGTTTCAAGGTAATGATCAAAATTACTGGATTTTCGCGAGAGCAGAGACTGCCTGCGCCAGGTTTGGCGTTTTCCCCTCTGAATTCTCCCCCTACTCTTCAGCAGTGCGAGTTTCAGTCGTTAACTCCTGTCTTTTGTCTCTGGGACTTCCAAAGATAACCGTCTTCCCTTTCTCTCTTTTAAGGAACCACAGCTTTCACTACCCTCCCCCCACCAGCCGGGTCTCCAAACTCTGTCCCCAAGATCGATCCCATCCACATGGGTCACTTCGGAGCTGCGAGGTGCCTGTCTTCAGCACCCACAGATGGACGTTTGCAAAGTTCTTGTAGGCTCGGTTCTGGATGGAAACTTTGTCTGGAACCCCTCTTCCCCCCAACTCCCCCAGGCCCTGCGTCCGCTGGACTCCTGCGCTCCCCGCGCCCCCAGCGCGCGGCCCCTACCTGGCTCAGGCTGGACGCAGCTGCGACCGCGGCGCCCCGGGTCCGCACGGCGCGCTCCGCATGGTGCGGCCGCCCAGACTGGCGGCGCCCCGCTCGCGCCGAGTCCCCGGAGTCGGGGTCCCTCCCTGCGCGGCCCTGCGCTCCAATGGCCAGCCCCGCTCCCGCTGCCCGCGCCGCGCCGAGGCCAAGGATCCCAGCGAGCGCCGCGCCTGGCCGGTGGCTTCCTTAGGAAGAGGCGGGGAGGGGTTAATGCCTTTAACCCTTCACGCCCCCGGCCAGCCCCGGGGCCCCCGATCCGGGGAGGGACCAGAGAAGAAAAGAAAAGGAAGCCCTCCTCCCCAACCAGCAACTGAGAGAGAGAGAGAGAGAGAGAGAGAGAGAGAGAGAGAGAGAGAGAGAGAGAGAGAGAGAGGTGGAGCCTAGTGCCCCTAAATTCTGATTAAGAAATCACGTCCCTCGTCAGTTCCCAAGCGATACATGGAGAGGATTCATCCGACCCTGGAAACCACAGGAGGTGGGGACCTTTGCAAACTTTTTCTTCCCCCCTCCCTTAAAGTCTTAAGGACTTAAAAGTCATAAGGGGATCTGCCTGGTGCTCCCACCCCAGAGACCTGGGGAGATCTGAGCAGCCCGAGATTGTGAACCGGCGTCCCCCGGGGTCGCTCCCTCTCCGCAGCCCGGAGGGTCCCGGCCGCTTTCCAGGGAACAGGTGGACAGGGCGAAGCGGGCGGCCAGCCCACACCACAGGGACCCGCTGGGACGATCCTCTCTCCCCTGGTCACCATCCACCCCTGGTGCCGGCGAAGCCTAAGCACTTGTGGCCGGGGGTGGGGGCGGGGGAGACAGAAAGTGGCTTCCCCGGGCGGGCGTACTGTGAACCGGACCGGGTTCATAGTGTCCCAGATCTGGCCAGCGTGAGACCTTTGGGGAGGTGGGCTCCTGCCGGACACCCAGACGTTTCAAAGCTTGGGCGGCTCAGGAATTTGCAAAGGGGAAGAAGAACCACCCGGCCCGGCACAATCCAGAGCCAGCAGCTGCCAGCTGAGGGCGGGTGCTCTTCTCTCCCTACTTGGGACAGGACTCAGAGTCCCCAAATGTCCACATTTTTACACCCTCCCACCCTTGTCTTTTGACTTTGATACTAAAGTCGTGAGTGGTGGGCCTTGGTCAGATCTGGCGGATTTCCCAGTCCAAGGCACTTCTGCACTGCTCTGCTGTTAACAAGAGGCTTCCACCGGGTCCCCGGTCGCACCGCCTTCCCATCCTGGCAGATGTGAACTCAAAACCTTCCAGCGCTCTGCAGTTTCAATTGACAGACACGCCCTGTACCTGAATGACTCAGAACGAATAAACAACAGACCCCTGGCTTCTGGGATTTCATGAGTTTACAAAAAGAAAAAAAAAAAGTGACAGTTAATTCACAGCCACCTTAAAACCCTCATCTACAGCAGAGGCCCTCATTACCGCATCACACCCAACACACACCCTCAAGTTCAACAGTAGGTACTTGCAGCGTGGAAACTAAGCTAACGGTTCTCCAGACGCTTCCGGACCACGCTGACCCGGTGTATTTGAAAGGGGAGATACATGGTATGTGTCCCCCCAAAAAGGGAGGAATTAGCCATTCCCATCCCCCACCACTAGGACAGCTTAAGTGACCTGAGCAGTTCCCAGCTAATACTAGGCACAGCGGCATTCCAAAACCTCACTACTGCTTTGTCTCCTAGCTCAAATGACACCAGTCAATAAACAGTTAAGTACTGAGATGTATGTTCCTAGAGAGAAGCAGACTTCTAGAGAAGTTTAAAATTTGTAGTCATTTCTGACTACACATGTCTACAAAATGTATATAAAATAAAATATGCTATGAACATCCTTTTAAGACCAGAGAAGTTCCGGACTGTCCAGGTATGCAAAGTGTACACATATATATCTCCTCTGCAAGGCTTTGCACAAGCTAAGCAGGTGCTCTGCCGCCTGAGCCACACCTCCTTTTTCTTTTTGAGACAGTGTCTTGCTATATGGCTCGGGCTGGCCTCCTGCTTCTGCCTCCCAAGTGCTGGGATCATAGGCAGGAGCAATTGTACCCAGATGTGTAGTTGTGTATCAGGCACTAAGTGTTACCCAGATTAACTCATTTAATCCTTACAGTTTAATCCCTACAGGCTAGGTACTATTATTGTCCAAATTTTACAAATAAGCTGAGTCCCAGACATACAAAGAAAGTTGGTTAATGTGGGACGTGACCATAGACTACTGCAAACCACTGAGATAAACCTCAAACTGTCAAAGAATTACGTAGGGGAGTCAGTTCTGTTTCTTGTCGTTGGTGAGGACGACATTCAATACTGACCCAATGTTGTTTGTTTGTTTTCTGGTGGAACTTGGCTCTGCACTCTATCACTTGAGCCACACCTCCCATCCGGACCTAACGTTTAAAAAAAAACAAATATTTCTCACAGGTGATTATTCAGTAACACTCATTCCTAGAACACACCTGTGAGATAGGCAAAATTGGAAAGTAGGAAAGTTATTTCCCTCCATGGCTTCCCTGGCAATTCCAGGCATTTAGTCCAGCTGTCCCCCCCAGCCACCCACCCACTGTGTTTTTGGTGGGTTCTTTTAGTGGGACTGGGGTTTGAACTCAGGGCTTTGAGCTTGCAAACCAGTCACTCTACCACTTGAACCACACTTCCAGTCCTACAAAGATAACTTTTATGTAAAAAAAACCCCAAATATGTAAATGAATGTAAACGGAGATAATGAAAACAGTCACTACAGTTGGGTTAGAGGGAAGTTGGTGGGGTGTGTTCACAACATTTTCTTTCTGCTATGCTGGATGCCTTTCAGTCAGACGTGGAGTTTGCAGATCAGCATTGGTTTTCTCTTTCAAAAATCCCGGTGCTTCTAATTCTTGATCTTATTCAAGGAGCTTTAGTGAGAATTGAATTTGCTTCTAGGATTCCCTGCCTACAAGTCCGTTTTCAACTTTCTAAGGTTTGACATGTCAGTTACACATATTAATTTGTTTGTTTTTTGTTTTTAATTAGAGGGTGGGTCTTCCACATGCGAGGCAAGCCTTCTACCACTGAGCTACAACCCCAGACCTGCTTTCTGAAATGTTATTGCTATCATTAGAGGCAAAATAATTTGAAATTAATGAAAGTTCAACCCAGAGGTCTTTGTTTCCAAGGTCCTAGAAGGAGCCCTAGCAATATGTCCACATGGTTATATGTTTGGATAAAACATTAAAAGAAAGACATTTTGCCATTATTGGCT